CTCTTGTTTTTTCCCCAGGAGAATTCAGTGGGAATTCAAAGAGACTTTTGCTATTGTCTTTACGAGACAGGGTCTCTTCCTGCAAATCATGCTGACTTCAAACATGTAACCCTCCAGGTTTGGGCTTCTGAGTACTGGGATTATAGTTCTGGGCCCCAAGAGCAGCTACCATGGGAAGTTCTTATTCATGCTGTGCTGTCTGTGAGGAGAAACTCTAGTGAGCAAATACCACAAGGTCTTGACTGTACTTTGATGCACCTGGCTTTGTGCTCCCATAAGACAGTTTCTCAGTGGGAGAAGGAGGCTCTGGGAATTCCTATTCTACAACGCACTAATGTGTTTTATTTTGTTTTGTTTTGTTTCATTTTCGAGACAAGATTTCTCTGTGTAGCCTTGGCTGTCCTGGAATTTGATCTGTAGACCAGGCTGACCTCAAACTTGCAGAGATCCACTTGCCTCTGCCTCCCAAGTGCTGGGATTAAAGGCATGTGCCACCACAGCCCAGCTGATGGGAACCCCCCCCCCCAACGCCCTGCACTGGATTGTATGAGAGCAAATACAAGACATTGGTGTACATTTAAAACAATAACAACAACAACAACAGCAAAACAGGGTCTCACTATGTATCCCTGGCTGGCCTAGAACTCCATATTTAGACCAGGCTAGACTTAAACTCACAAAGCCTCCATCTGCTGGGATTAAAGGTGCACGTCACTGCACACAGCCATGCACATATTTTTTGAGACAGAGGTCTCATGCTACCTGTGCTGTCCTCAAGCTCACTATGTAGCAGAGGCTAGCCCAAGCTCTTGAAGGAGTGGGTTACCATGCTCAGCATATAATTTCATTCATAATTATTTCAGAAAATATCCCTGGAAAATACTTAATCACCATTATACACAACAAAATTAGAAAGCCTTCCATACGTTAAAGTTCCAATTACCATTAACAATTTTTACATGGGTTTTTAACTATTTATTCAATTTGGTTCATGGGCCAGAAAGAGGTGCTTACTACCAAGACTGACAAACGTGACATCAATCCCTGGGAGCCACATGGTGGAAGGAAAGAACCAACTCCTACAAGTTGTCCTCTGACCACGGGAGCATGTACAAACACACACACACACACACACACACACACACACACACACACACACACACACTACATAATAAAATACTTAAAAATTTTATTTTTTTCAGATCAGAATTCAAACAAGTCTTTTAACTGTGTCAATACATTGATCTCTCTGCCACAACTTTTTTAATTCTTCTATTTCATCTGTTGAGAAAACCAACTTGTTTGCTTCCTAGAACTTTCCACATTCATGATTTATATCGCACGTTCAAGACCTCTTTCGTTTGGCTACTTATTGGTTTGGTTTGGTTTTGGAGACAGGGTCTCGCTATCCAACCTAGAGTGTCTTGGGACTCACTGTACAGCCCAGGCTCACCGCCGACTTGTAATCCTCTTGCCTTAGCCTTCCAAGTGCTGGGTTTACAGGGCTGTACCAGCACGTGCGCGTGCACCTGCACACACACCCACACAGTGTCATTCAATGTGCTCTTCTGTGCCCTGTATTCCCTGCACACTGACTGTTGGGTTTAGAGAGTTAATAAGATTTGAGTCTGCGTCAGGCTCTTCCTGTTTTGTTGCTTCAGAAGACATGGGACTGCCTCTCTTATGTGATAGTGAGTTTGACAAATAGGCTTCGGCATCGTCAGACAGATTTACCCATTACAGTGTTCCATCAGCTGTGCTTTCGCAGTCATTAATAATCATTGGCTAGATTTAGTCTTTCATGTAAAATTTTAAAGTGAGATCTGGGTGATGGCTCAGACAGTGATGTGCCTGTCTGGCAAGCAGGAGAACCAGAGTTTAGACTTCCAGTACACATGTAAAAGGCTGAGCATAATGGCATGTGCCTGTGACCCTTGCCTTGAGGGATAGGGCAGCAAAGACAAACAGAAGCTGAAAGCTCACTGGCCAGCCAGCCTAGCCAAACTGATGATCATCAGTTTTGGTGAGAGATCCTGTTTCAAAAAACAAAGATGGAGAATGATTGAGAAAAGACATAATGTTAACCTTGGGCCTCCACATGTTCACATACATGTCCATACACAGTTGCAAGCATATGTACATGTACCTCACATATACATATTACATACACACACACACACACACACACACACACACACACACACACACACACACACACCTTCTGTTTCTACCATTCCTTGTAGATGCTCATCTGTATGTATGTATGTTTGTATGTATGTATGTATATCTACAGGTATGTGTGGAGATTAGAAGACAACTTGAGGGACCCAGTTCTTACCTTCTGTCATATGGGATGGGGGATCGAACTCAGGTCATCAGGTTTAGCAGCAAGTGCCCTTTACCCACTGAGCCACCTCACTTCGCCAGGAGCATATTTCTTTTTCTTTTTTGAATAAAAAGTAATTTTATACAATATATTTTGATCATATTCTTTCCCTGCCCCCAACTCCTACCAGATCCTCCTCACTTCCCTATCTGTCCAACTTCTTATTCTCTCTCTCTCTCTCTCTCTCTCTCTCTCTCTCTCTCCCCTTCCCTCCATCCTTTCTTCATATACATGTATCCAAAATATAAAGCACACAAAAAGTCATGGAGTCTGTTCCATGCTGGCCGTCTTTTCCCATGCATAAGACTACCCTGTAGTGTGGTCGATATTCTCCATTGAAGAAAAATTAGTTTTGTCTCCCAGCAAGTATCAATGGCAAAGAGCCTGTTGATAAAGGGTGGGACTTGGTGTCTACTTCTCCTCAGTGCTGGGGATTTTATCTGGTTTGAACTTGTACACATCTTGTACACACAGTCACAGTCTCTAAGTTCTTATATGTATTAACCCTGTTGTGGCTGGAAGATGATGTTTCCTTGGAATCATCCACCACCTCTGGCTCTTACACTCTTTCTGCCTCTTCTACGAATCTCTGAAACCCGAAGGGAAGGTTTGATAGAGACATCCCATTTAGGACTGACGGCTCCAAAGTCTCTCATTCTCTGCACATTGTGCAGTTTTAGATCTCTCTGTTAATTACCGTCTACTGAAAGAAGAAACTTCTCTGACGAGAATTGAGCAATGCATTGACCTATGGGTATAACTATAGATCATTAGAAGTCATTTTATTGCCCTGTTCCTTTAGCAGAATAATAATAGCAGCACATTTTCCTCTAGGCCCATGACCTGTCTGGTCTTAGGTTCTTGTCCACTTCATTGGTATCAAGTATGGCTTTTATCTCATAGAGTGGGCCTTAAATCCACTTATTTAAAAAGTGGTTGGCTAACCCCATAACATTTGCACCACTAGTGTTAACAGTATCTCTTGCAGGCAGATACCTGTCATTGGTCACAGGGTTTGTGGCCAAGTGGTATTTATGATTATTTTTCTCTTGCATGCATAGTACCTTTCAGCACCATGAATCCTGGTCGGTAAGGACAAAGCTTCTGGTTGGGCATCATTTCAATTTCTCCAGGTTTGATGACATCAGTAAGCAATTTCTTCAGCAACAGGGACTTACTGTCAGGTTGTAGAGGATAACCAATGGCCTTGGCAATAGTCTGTTATAATTGAAGGGGGATCAGTGGGACCTCCTTGGCCAACAATGCAATCAAATGTAACTCATTCCTGGCACTGGAAGTTAGACTTAGTGGCAGAAGATGTCTAGCTGGGGCATTGTCTCCTCATTATAGGGTGACTCCATTTAAATTCTTTTCATATATGTACATATAGCCACAGTAGTAAGTCTCCATATGGCTTCTCAAAATGCCTTTGGTGTAAGTCATTCCTCCCAGTGTTCCCTCCTTTACCCTGCCATCCCATTTCCCTTCTCATTTAATCCTAGTTTCCCATTTATCTCTTTATAACACTATATTCTAATTCTCCTTCCTTGGGAAGAGTCTCTCCTCCTGTTGTGGGATATTTGAGCAAACTATAAAAATGTGTCGATGTTTTATCTTGCCCACCTAAGGTACCTGATGGGTTTAATAAAGAGCTGAATGGCCAATAGCTGGCCATGAAAGAATATGTGGGACTTCTAGGGAAAGAGAGGAACTCAGGATGAATCTAGGTGTACGAAGGAGATGCCAGCGAGACTTGGAGGGAGTCGGACATACAGAATGGAGGAGAGGTAAAAAGCCACCTGGCAGAACATAGATTCATAGAAGCAGGTTGATTTAGGTTATAAGAGCTGGCTTGGAACAAGCCTTAGTTAAAGGCTTATTATGAATTATTTCGTAATTAACATTAAGTCTCCATGTCATTCTTTGAAGGCTGGCAGTCCCAAAAGAAAGTCCGACAAGAAAGACTGACAACATCCTCCCCTTTGTCCCTTACTGGCTGCTTAGCCTCTGTGGTTATTCTGATCAGAAGTGCATCTCTGAAGAGCAAGGAAATGTTCTGTCTCCATAACCTCAAAGATAAAATGAGAATAAGACCCCTGCATTCCTTTCCTCAGAAAGACACTGGACTTGTGTGAATCAAGCAGCTTCAGTCCTTCATGACTAAGAAGTTCATGCTGCAAGTTACAATGTTTCTTATAGGTAGCCAGTTTGAAAGGAGGCTTTGATTGAGAAGAGAATCATTCATAGCTAGTGGAAATGGCAGGGATGACTGTGGTGGTACTGATGAAGGTAGGGTTATAACAAACAACCAAGGAAAAAGTAAATACAGAGGGGGTGAACGTAATTCAAGCATTTGAACATGCCTTTTGAGGCAGTACCTCTCATGCTCAGGTTCCTTATAAAGCACTGTGCAAAATGCCGATGACGTTTTGCAGCTGGTTGTTGAAACAGATGATAGGAGATTTCTAATTAAAAGCCATTGGCTCACCGCTGGGCACAATGATACACATTTTTAATCCCAGCATTCGGGAGGCAGAGGCAGGTGGATCTCTATGAATTCCAGGCTACCCAGGGATACCTAGAGAGACCTTTTCTTAAAAAAAAAAAAAGTAAGAAAAAGAAAAATCTATCAGCTCTGATTTCTGTCCCAGAAAAGGTACCTAGATCATTTCATGGTCCCTTTTGAACCGGAATTTCTCTTTCATATGAGGCTATTTCTAAATCATTTTGTAAGGTAATAAAATTTATGTGAGTGGAGAAACCACCAAATTCAGGGTGCATCTCCAGGAAGTGCCAGATGACTTCTCCAAATTGTGACTTCCCACACCTGCTGTCAGATGCTGTCAGAAGCATTTAACACGTGCGCTGTCTTTCACTTCTAAGGGACATTTTCTTTTCAGAATACAAAATAACGTGAGGCATTCTGAATGATGCATTTAATATATCAATGCAAAGACATATTAAGTCCCAGCAATATTCTCCATGCACACAACCTTACAGCTCACTTAAAATCCTCCTCCTTCTAAGATGGCGATATGAAAGGGTGGATTTTGTGAAATGGAAGGGAATGAAGACGAAAATCTCTAAAAGGATTCTGAAACCTCTAAAATGCTCCTGAGATTCTAAGCATCGGGTTAGGTGTGAGGGGTCTGGAAACCATGTATTAACACGCTTCACGTCACTCTGCACACGTAACACCGCAGGCAGTTAGTTACCTTATAAGGAGAAAGGTTCATTTTGCCTCATAGCTCTGGAGGTATCATTCTAAAACCAGGCAACACTGTTGTTTTGGGTCTCTGGCCCGAGCGACACATCACAGAAGGAGTACACAATGGAGCAAACCACTTGCCTAGCAAGCCAGAAGGCTTAAAGAGAGATAGACTCCCCCAAACATCCCCTCAATTACCTGAGCACCACACATCAGGCTTCACTGCCTTCCAACAGTGCCACCTTGGGGACCTAGGTTTCAATACGTGGGTCTTTAGAGATCTTGACAATATTCAACACAGCATATTACTTAGTCAAAAAATAAAGAACAACAAAACAACCCACCAAAACCTATTTCCTTGTCAAGGGCTGGGAAATAATACAGACTAAGCTTAAGTCCAAATCCAAAGCTTCGAAGAGCCAAATCAGAAAAGCATAGTGGGTACGAATGTAAAAATAGAAAAGTAAGAATGGGAACCAGGACTTGGCTCCAGAGAGCACCAGTCTGGAGGCTTGATTGACATATGTGAAACATCAACACGGACGCCAGAGCCCCCTAAACAAATCAAACCAAGACACCCAACACCAGATAACTTGAGAAAGAGGAAAGGTTTCCTTCTATTGTTGTAAGGAGATCGGGGCCAACAGGGTTACCTAGAATGAAGAGCAGGGAGGAGCAGCCAAGAAGAGGTTTTCCTTTAAGCATAGATGATGATCCCGGGCATTTAAGGGAATGACCTCACCTTCCAAGACGTAAGCACCTCAAGGACGCTGTGAAGGGACTGAGCATAGAAACGGGTGAAGCGTGTGCTTTATCAAGCTTCCCAAGTGTAGAATCTGCAGACTGCAAGGCCCTTTGTTTGACGCTTAAGATGGAATCAAGCTATTTGGAGCATGGAAATGGGAGTATGAGAGTCTGATACGAGATGCTACCAGACCGAAAGAAGGGGAACAATCACATCAGACCAACGTTCAGTAGCAGAAGACTCATAGGCAAGGTCAAGAACTACAGTGACCAATGATAAGAAGCCGAATCCTTGGAATATTATAATCTTCAATGTAATTCCAGGGAAAATCTAAGGTCAAGGTTGAGGAGTGTGTTCACAAGAGAGAAGAGTAGGATCAGCATCTGTCAACAAGTAAGTGCTATTTGAAAGAGGAGCATCTTCAAGCATGGTGCCTATCCCAGGGCCCTTTCTCGGGTGGCCTCAAAGACACGAGTCTTCAGAAGAACTGACAGCAATTCCAGCCTCTAAGTCACTATGCAATGAACATATGTGGGACTGTGAAAACAGGTCATTGTCATAAATGATCTGGCTAGGCCTCAGCTGGGAAAGCTTCCATCCAGTCCTTCAGGCCTCACCTCACCCTCCTCTGACTGCTGGGTAGCCGGAAAGGCTGACCTGTACACAGTTCTCTACTTAGGGCTGCTTGGAGATGCTGCAGGGCATCATCTAGGAGGTAACAAGTGAAAGGAAGATGCTCATTTCTTCAGCATTGACCCTGCTAAGCCACTGTCTCAACGCAAGTCCACCTCCTACCTGCTTCCAGCTAGGCTTGCTTTATTCTCTCCCCTCTCTCCCCACTTCTTCCTTCCCTCTCTCACTCTTTACCTCCTGCACATATGCATATCTAGGCTCACATACTTCCACATGCACACACACACACACACACACACACACACACACACACACACAACCTACTAACCATCTCCTTGCCTTTTAAATCTAGTTATTGTCAAATACCTGCCATCAGCCAAAGGTCCTGAGACATCCTTTACGGTTTTTGTTTTTTTTTTCTGTGCCTTACCCGGATACAAGATCCATGAATAAGCTCTGCTCGGTGACTAACTCTGCAAGTACCATTCACAGGATTCTGAGTGCTCTACACCCCCAACTCACCACTAATGTAGAAGTTGTTTTTGCGTTTCCCTATGTGCAGGGTGGGTTTTTAAAGAGGAGCTGCTCAGGCAATCTCCTGGCTTGTGATGAAAACTAAAGGGCGGGATGATCCCTGGTGAGAGTCAGTGCTGGAAGTGATTGAAGGCTTAGCACAAAGCTGGGACCCCCTGCTTCCATACCATGCTACAATGATAACAAGAAAAATCAGCCAGAGACAGGCAGCGGGCTGTGTCTCACTAGGAAGCATTCACACAAGCTCTCTTGGCCAGGCAGGTCCAGGCCTGCCCAGGCACCTCTCTCAGTGGGTCAGCTATGGACAGAACATTGGTGCCCCGGGACTACATGATGTACAGAAACACTACATGATGTACAGAAGCAAAGCAACCTGACACATGACTTGCTGCTGCTCTTCCTGCTAGGCATAGCTCCTCTCCCTGATGTTGGGGTAGGGGTGAGTTACCTGCTGCTAGCCCCACCTGTGTTCAGGCATCAATTCAGAGAAAAGGAACTGTTGGGGAGGCACTTTTCTCAAGCCCACCCTCCTCTTCATATTCTCCCATCTGAATGTCTCAGCTGGTCCCGGTTTCCTGAGTCTTGGGGAGACTCTTTGGTGTCTCTCCGGGGACTTCCACAAGACACTTCGATGATCAGAGAGGAGAAAAGTGACTCGGCGGTATGCACGGCTCCACAAGCCACTGTTGAGTTCCCTTTTCCGTCTTAGTTACTGTTCCATTGCTGTGGAGAGACACCACGACCAAGGCAACTCCTACAGGAGAAAGCATTTCATTGGGGCTTGCTGCAGTTTTCAGAGGTGTAGTCCATTATCATGGAGGGGAGTATGGAGACATGCAGACAGGTGCTGGAGCAGTAGCTGAGAGCTACATCTTGATCCCTGGGCACAGAAGGGGATGGTGGGGGGAGGAAGAGAAAGAGAGAGACAGAAGGGGATACTGGGTCTGGAGTGGGCTTATGAACCCATAGACCTCCTGCCTTGCATCGTACTTCAGACATAGCAAGTGAAAGTGCCTTTGATGAGAGTCGAGGGCTGTAGGAGCCTGCCAACTTGACAGAATCTTGTGAATGAAAATTCCCGAAAAGAAACTGTATCTGAAAAAGCTGATTGACTAAAACTTCAATGACTGTGGAGAGGTTGGAATGTTACTGATCCAGAGCCTAATTCCAATTTATCTGGGGCTATCTTTGGCCCACTAAATGGTCATTCCTTGCCCCACTCCTTGGAATTGTATGAACTTAACAAAACTCTAATTTTCCACCAACCAAATCATAAGATTTCCACCAATCCGAAGATATCTAAGATCTATAGATAAGATCCTCCCCACTGTGCTGGAACCCCACACTTACTGTTTACATGTCTTGATAATGGTTTTCTTTGTTCTGTTGCTATGGTGATTTGAAAGAAAATGGCCTCCATAGGCTCCTAGGGAGTAGCACCATTAGGAGGTGTGGCCTTGTTGGAGGAAGTGTGTCGCTAGGGAGCAGGCTTTGAGATCTCAAATGCTCAAGCCAGGCCTAGTATGACGTTCACTTCCTGGTGCCTGCTGATCTGGATGCAGAACTCCAAGCTCTTTCTCCAACACCATGTCTGCCTACACACGGTCATGCCTCTCACTATGATGATAATGGACCAAACCCCTGATACTGTAAGCCAGTAAGTTAAATGTTTTCCTTTATAAGAGTTGCCGTGGTCATGGTGCCTCTTCACAGCAATAGAAACCCCAACTATGACAGCTGCTACAAAAACATCATGGAATTGATTCCACACTAGAACACGGAATTTGGGGGCAATCTAAATCTGAGCTTCTAGGCCATGGCCACTCACACTTGGTTCTAAAATAAACTGTCTCATATTCCCCGAGATGAGAGTAATAAATTTTTGTGTTGACAACCTCCATGGAAAAACACCTGAGTGTGCTTGTGGGGAAGAAAGTCCCACCATAAATATGGGATACACCAACTGATGGGCTGAGGCCCCAGATTGAGTAAAAAAGGAGAAAGCAAGTAGAATACAGCATCCATATCTCTCAGCTTCCTGAGTGCACACATGATATGGCCAGACACCTCAAGTCTGTGCTAGCAGGCCTTCCCTGCCATGATGGAGTATGCTCTCAAACTGTGAGCCAAACCAAATCCTTTCTTCCTCAAGCTGTATCTTGTCAAAGTAATAAGAAAGGTAACTAATACAGAAAACAGGTACTGATGTGTAGGGCTGAAAATGGAATAAAATGACTATGTTTCCCAGGCCTTGCGAGCTGATTTGCAAGAAGAGTGGGGAAAAGTTTGGAGCTTCAGGCTAGCAAAGCCCCCAGAGCACAGTAAGAAGGGCTCAGTGGGCCACTTCACTGGGTCCTGAGAATTACCAGAATGTTGAGACAAATGCAACAGTAGAGGCCTCACTGAAAAGGTTTTGGAGGAGAGCAAGAACTCTGTCGGGAACTTTGCTAGAGGTCACTCATGGCAAAGCACCTGCCTGCATTCTGCCTGTGCCCTGGGATGTTAAGTGAAGCTGAAATAAAAAAGTAGTGGACTAATTTGTTTGGTGGAGAAAAAAAAAATCTCAAAACAGGATCATGTTCAGGTTGCCGTGGCTCCAGCTCACGGTTTTCATCCACTGTGAGAGAGAAACAGTGACGTGGAAATACGTGGAAACAATGTCCAGCTTGAGAGGAAAATAGTGTGAGCCGGTTTCTAAACAAAAAAAGATGGGCTTGAAAGCAGCTGTCATAGTTCAAAGACTAGCATCATTAAAGAGAAACCTAGTGATCTGCATTGGGACAGTGTAGGGAAAGATTCAGAAGAGATTTTGGACTTTTGAACAGTCCTTAGACTACGAGGATGTCTAGAGATAGTCTGAGTACATTTTGCTTTATGCGGCTTTGGATTCGGGAGTTGAATGTTATGACTTAAAGTGGTGTATTTGGATGTCAAATTGCCCAGGTCAGAGTTATTGGGGTTGTCGATTTAATGGAATTTAGAATCCCTGTAGAAACATACCTCTGGGCATGTCCATGAAAATGTTTCCAGGACGATTTAACTGAAGAGAGAGGATTCAATCCAAATGTGGATAGCAGAATCCCATGGGCTGGGGTCCCGGGCTAAATAAAAAGGAGAAAATGGGTGGAACATTAGCATTCATCTCTCTGTTCCTGACTCTACACGTAGTATGAGCAGCCACCCCATGATCCTGCTACCATGCTTGCCCTACCATGATGGACTCAGTGTATGCCTTTGCATCATAAACCAAAATATATCCCTTTAAGTTGCTTCTTTTGACTATTTGATGATAGCAATGAAGAATCAATTAATACAGAGCCGGAGAAGTGACCTACCACTGGATAAGGCCATACCTGACCCTATGGTTCTCTCATCTCCGAAGGAAAATGAGAGGAGCGGGCAGACACCATAACAGGCTGCTCAGTCTTCTCTCAGAGATCAGGCCTCGATTTCAGTTTCTTGAGGGTGAACAAGCAATTTCTGAGAGAGCCCCAAACAAAGAGCAATTAATCACTAATGCCCCTGACAACACGGGCATTGAGCCAGCCCCCACAGTCAGCGCATAGATAAGCCAGCCTCCATAACAACTCACAACAAAGCCTGAGACTTGTCCAAGCCTGCCAACAAATGAAAGAGCTGTAGCCTTAACCAGCTCCTTGCCAGCCCTAGCCAATTAGAATGTACTAATATGATTGCCACTTGCTTAAGCCAATCATATCTAAAGTGACCTAACTGCCCTAAAAACTCCCCTTGGTTGTGCTTAAAAAAGAGCCTGTGAGCTCCTCTCTGGATCATGCTGTTTTGCCTTTGTGTGGGATGGCCGGCCCCAGCATGCTGGAAGCTTTCTCAAGATAATAAACACTCTTGTTGATTGCATATGTGGATGGTGGTCTTTTGTGGGACTTCTCCAGGACCCTAAGAGAAAAGAACACAAAAGTAAAGATAAAACATGAGCATGTTGGAAAAAAAATGGTGAATTTTATATAGTTACTGCCATGTGTCATTTACTGATGGGGGTAAGCACTAAAGTATAAAGTGTTGTCTTGTATAATATTAGAGGGACCAGCCTTAACATTATACATACCAGGGGCTCAGGAGAGAGAACTACTAATGGCGAGGACTATTTTTGGGAAATAGAATCTCAGCACACCGAGCTCTATAGTCTACTTGCTTTAATTCCTCTGGCATAACATCCTTTATACACAGCTTCAATTCTGTTCTCATGCCTAGCTCCTTTCTTGCCTGATTTCTCTCTATATTTATCTACTGTTCCCTCTAGGTTCCATCTTAATTCCTTCATCTAGCTCTGTCCCTTCTAGGTTCTCATCCATCTTGTTCTTTCCCATATCAGCTCCTCTCCCATCTCCTTCTCTCCCATCTCCTTCTTCCTCATCTTATTCTTCCCCACTTGGCTCTTCCTCATCTTCCATATCATTCCTCTAGTCCTCTCTTTTAACCCTTCAACCTAGTTCTTCCCCATCTGTTTGTTCCTCTCAAGTTCTTACCCATTTAGTTTTTCCATTCTCTCTTTTCTTCTCTGTCCCGTGCCCTGGAAGTCCCAGTATATAAAGGGAGGGTCCAAGCCAAATTGTGTAAAGCTATTACTTAACGTCCACCTGACCTAGGAAGTGTCTCCTTGTGGAATTTACCGTAAGTCAGGAGACTTGCACGTGGGCTGTTATCACTGTTAGTCCTTGGAAGTTGGGCGCCCACTTGGGCGGTGTTTCCTGTAGTCCTTGAAAGTGGCTAAAAGAGATATCTGATTCCAGAGAAAGCCTTTCCTGAGGCTGTTCTCCAAATACCTGGAATGAGTATGTCCAGAGAGTGATCAGTCCACACTGTTAGCCCTTCTTAGGGAAAAGTCAATTGGGAAAACTATGAAGGCACACATATTCATAACAGAATAAAGCTGATATAGAACAAGCCAAATAACACCAAAAGCTCCTTGGAATTTGGCTTCCTCTGGAGTAAATCCTTGATCCCTCCAGGTAGTGACTTTGCCATAACCAGCTGAGTTCTTATGATATATTCCTGTGGCCTGCAGCAGTGTTAAGCAATTTTATGGTTGTGAAAACATCATAGAATTTACTTGCACAACTCTAAATGATATCTTACTACACAGACAGCTATGGCACACACCTAGGCTATAAAGAATGTGCATACAAACTATCCTGGAGTTTCTAGGGCCATGATGAACAAAAGGTTAAGTCAAGCACAAGAGAAATTTTGCAATTAAGAAAGGAAGTAAACAGGAGACATGTCAGGCTGCTCCTGATGTAAATGGCATCATGTTTTATAGTCAATTTATCCTTACCAGAACTAGAAGGAGTGTACTGTGAAAAAATGATAAAAAACATAAGTATGATAAATACATAAACTAGTCACACAGGCATTTATCATGATCAACTATTATGTATTGTAAATAATTGTATGAGCTGTACCTTTCTACTGATGGATTGCTGGAGGTGTGTTCATATCATCATCAGTACAAGCTCGTGAGTAATTCACTATAATCAAGTTATGACGTTATGGTGGTTATGACATAACTAGGCAAGAAAAACACTTTCAGATCTGTTATACCCTCATAGGCCCACTATCACACATGCAGTCCTGCTGATTGTCGATTGAAGCACCATGCACATGCTCCCTCAGTGAGACTTAACAAAAGTCTTTCTGTAGTTCCATTTTGAATTTCAATTAAAAAAAAAAAGTTTTCAATTTTCAAGTTGACCCTAGTCAACTTTGAAGTGGGGGCATACATTTGGGAAATTATCATTAAATAAAATACTTTTAGTTGACATTCTTCTTTCTCAATTTATGCTTATCACAATCCATTGATTGCACATGTGTGCGATGTTAGCCATAGAGACTTGGTTTTTACAGGGTACATATATGTGTTGTACGAAGTGCATGCCAGACAGAGGAATGTGAGGCTGAATCAGGTAGCTTATCTAGCCTATGGGAAGTTAAGAGGGCTGGAAAACATGTGAACAACTTAGTTTAAAAAGTCTAGTGCCTGCAATGGTAGGAATACATATAAGGGAGGAGAGGATTTATTTCACACATGAAATATAAATATAAATAACTTCTAGCCTATGAGACTGTGATTTTCATGAATGCAGTTCCTGAATTTTTGGGACTTCTCCCATAAAGAGATGTCTGTGTCCTTCGGCCTTGAACCTGGGTTCCGTGGCTGCAGGATTGATAGACTACAGTGGAAGTGATGTCATGCACTTTCCAAGCCCAAGCTGCCTTAAGCAGCTGGCAACCTCCACCTCTCATCTTTGAGGTCACTGGCTCTTGGAATCCGACACTACTACTGGAGGAAGCCCAGAGTACTCCACTTTGGTCAAACACGTAGTGAAGCTGAGCCCCACAAAGACAGAACTGTTGGCAGCTCTCCCCCTGTCTCAGCCTCTCATCCCAGTTTCTGCCATGGTCTGACTGGATGCCACCAAGCTCTGCCAATCTCTCTGGAGTCTCACGTAAATGGACTCAGCAATTGCCTCATAGGACAGGAGTAAGGTGTAGGTTCAATTGGGACAAGGAGATAGCTGACCTCACCCCTTCTTCATACAGTCCAAGCTCCTTTCCATGTGCCCCCACCTTTGACTTCTTTATAACATGGGCTGTCAGAGTACTGGGTTCCTCACATGGCAGCTCATTTTCCCCAAAGTGGCTCTCCAAAAGAGCAAGACAGGAGCAGAAAAGCTTCTCATGTCCTAGGCTTAACAGACTTGCAATTGTCAGGCCAGGTTTGATGAGGAACTACCCAAGGGCCTGGCTCAGTGAAAGGGCATCTCTCAAGACCGGACGGTAGCTTGGTTATTGCCTTGTAGACAAAAGAGCATCGCTGAGGCTTTTCAATAGGAGAGGGATTTGATTTGAATTTTGGTTAAAAAAGTTAGTCTAGGATTATGTGTGGACCAGATTAGAAAGGAAAGACTCCTTTGGTTTTTTTTTGTGGGGGGGTGACATTGAGGGTATCTGTGAAGGCTTAAGGAGATCTCAGATGCCAAGTATTTGCTTCAGGACCAAAAAGCCCTGTAGTCCCAAAGCAGAAAGTCTCCATCCATACAAACAGTGGGCTGTTCGTTCTTCAAAAACAAACTCAAATAGGTTAGGAAAAAGATGAGACCCAGTCTCTTACCATGAATAGACTGTGTAAACAGAAGAGCTGAGACTGTTTTTAAATTATTCTCCACATTACAAAACTACTTCCTAATATTCCAGGAGGGAAAGAAATAGGTAACTTCTGGGAACAAAGTGGGATGGGAAACGGACTCCATAAATCCAACACTCAGCATCCTGGTTCTGTTGTCCTATGACATCATAGACATGGTAATGGGGATCGTGGAGACCTAAACTAGAAAAGAAAATGAAGGGCTGTTTGGAGTCCTGTCTGAGCTTCCTCTTCACACTAACCTGGTTGACTTTGCCTTTGAGAAAGGCTTAGGGTTACAAGAACAGGCTCCAAAGGTGGAGAACTCAGCTAGTGTTGTCTATCAGTCAGCAAACCCTGGGCTGCCCCCTAACAAACATTCCCAGTCAATGCTCAAGATAGCCATCACCAAAACACCAAATTCCCCAGCCTTTACTGAAGCAACCAGGGGCAGAAATGATGGCTTTTTGACCTATATCTGAGCTACATCCTGTGGGGTTTTTTGAGGTTGTTTTTTTGTTGGTGGTGGTGATGGTTTTTGTTGGTTTTGTTTTCCACCAGCTCCTTTTCAGTATTTTATTTTCAGAATGTGTTCCAGTTTGTTTTCTATTGCTGGGGGGGGGGGACACCAACCAAAAGAAACTTGGAGGGAAAGAGGTTTATTTGATTTACATATCCTAAGTTACAGTCTACCAGGGGAAGTCAAGGCAGGACTCAAGGCAGACTCTTCACGGCTTACTCAGCCTGCTTTCATATACAACCCAGGAACACCTGGCCAGGAGTGACACCCCCAGTCAGCGGTGCCCTCCCACATCAATCATTAATCAAGAAAATGCCCTACAGACTTGCCTACAGGCCAGTCTGAGGGAGGCGTTTTCTCAACTGAGGTTCCCTCTTCCCTGTCTGACCCTAGTTTGTGTCCAGTTACCAAAAAACAAACCAGGACACGGTGTTTGCCAATGAGGCGGAGGAGAGCTTCACAGCTGAGGATGGCTCTCAAACCTGTGGCCACGTGTCTACGAACAGATCCTAAGAGGTACCCTGAGGCCGTGAGCTGTCCAATCTAGAACTCTCTATCTCTCTCTCTCTCTTTTGGAAGGGAGGGCATATTTGTATGTCTGTTTATCATCTCCCCTTACAGGGGAAAAAAAATCCTCTTATCCTCCTATTAAGAATTCCTTGTGGAGTTCAGTTGGAAAAACCAGAGAGACCCACCTCTCTGGTTTCTGTTGTTCTTCTCCCTTTTGGACCATTGCAGATTATTAACTACAAGGCCCCGGGGCTGTGGGGTTGCCGGGCTTCAGTAGCACAGCCATGGAGGCCTCTACGCCTCGATCCACAGCCTGGAGAAACCAGCCCTGCTCCAGGCAGCCTCAGGGGTTCCAGAAAGGCTGAAAAGTCAAAGCTTCCAGGTGTCAGTCACACCTAGTGACTTTGTCATCCAGTGTCCACCAGGGGACCAAAAACACTCAAGCTATTTAAGCAGAGATGATTTCATGATAAAGAGTAGTGTGGACAAGAACTCCTTGCCAGGAAGCTGGCTACATAGGTTGAATTGACTGATTAAAACTTCAGTGATAGGGAGAAGTTGGAATGTTGCAATTCCAGAGTCTAATTACAGTTTATCGGAGGGTGATCTTTAGCCATTCACTAAAGCCATTCACTAAATAGCCATTCCTTGTCCCAATCTCTGTATCTGAGCAAACATCCTGCTGTTAGCTAGAACTAACAATCTGACAAAAGATAAAAAACCTTTTGGAGTCTATTAACTTAAAAAAAAAAAAAGAAAAGACCTAGTTCTCCACCAACTACTTTATCCATGTTGTCAGGCAGCATCCAAGGCTATAGCAAGTCCCCCATCTAGCTCCATCCCTAGGACAGACACGGTGAAGGGCAGAACTAACTCCTAAGTTTTCCTCACTTCTGCACATGCACCATGGCACAAATCCCCCCCATCAATCAATCAATATTGTTTTAATTAAATAAAGAAAACTGTCACATCAGCAAGCTAAAAAACTGTCGGAGGTAACATCAGAAGTAAAAACAGAAACCCCCCCTTTTTTTCCAGTCAACTTACATCTCTCTATGGAGAGATGCAGTGATGCTCTAGTCTCAATTCTAACTGGGGCTCGAACTCACCTCTCCCATGTCTCCGCTAATATATTTTTTAAGTGCCTTGATTTATAACTTTCTTTGTTCTATTACCATGAAACTGTTTTCACATTAATTTTTAGGTGGAGGGTAGAGCAGATAGCTCAATGGGTAAAGGCGATCAGTTGCTGTTCAAGTTGAGGACATGAGTTTGAACCCCACAAACCCAATTAGAAACTGGGTGCTACACGGTGAGTATCTGTATGGAGAGAGGGGAAGTAGAGACAAGATAATCGCTGTGCACTCGTGGGCCAGCTAGCCTGGTAAAACGGCAATGAAAAATTAATGAAGAGACCCTGTCTCAAACAAGATAGGCGAGGACTGACACCAGACACTGTTCTCTGACTTTTATGTGCGCGCGCGCGCGCGCGCGCGCGCGCGCGCGCACACACACACACACACACACACACACATTGAAGAGCTGAGAAAGCAGAAAGAGAACATTAAAATATTAAAAGGATGGCAGCTGCTGAAAGTAGTTCTCTCTCCTAGCACTAAACTCAAGGTTATAGAGCTCCTGAGGAACGGTGCCTACAGAGAGGTCCTGGCATCTCCAACGGGAGAGGATGAAGCCGGCTGTGTATGTGTTGGAAAATCTGGGCACTAAATTCAGTTGTCATTACTGCAAGAAGCTGCTGCTGCCCGAGGGAAGTGGTCAATGGGGGAAGACTCTCTGCAGGAACAGGAATCAAAGGAAGTAGAAAGTTCCTGTTTATCCCCAAAGGACTCCATCCTTCTTCCCCACCCCTAAAGGACCCACAGGCAATGACTATCAGGGAAGCAGCCGGCAAGTATGCTCTGCACCCCTGGGTCTGACATCATCAAACCAAACAAAGGTAAGACAAAGTTGACAATGAATTAATAAGGGATGTATTTACTAAGATTTTTTAAAACAAATTTGACACCATAAACCCCCAAATATAAAAGGAAATCATAGCACCAAAGACACTCATCCAGGAAAAGCATTTTGCTTTATTGTATATTAAGACATTGTCTTGGTACTAGAAAGGGAAAAAAGTGCTAGATTATTATTGGAAACCCGGAATTCAAGGAATGCAAATCTGTCTTCATGTTCATTTAACAATGTGACATTTAAATTACTAAGAAGAATGGAATAAACTCTGTGTTATTTGCACTTTCCCAATATTCTGAGATGAAATTGTCCTGGGATCAGCAACTGATTAAGCTGATTATATACCTCATATGTGTAGGATGTGGTTTTCAACCAGCCACAATCAAAATACAATTTACTTCTGTTAGTGTAATAATGTAGATGCTATAAAAGGCATCTCTCGGTAAGTGTTTTTCATTTACATTTCTCCGACTATTAGCGACGTGTTTTTTACAGCCGCACTCTGTCTTCGGCCTGCTTTTAATTCCACATTCTAACCATGGAATTGTTGGGATCTCTCGGAGTTGGTACTGGAAGGGAATCCGGATGCCTTGTGAGAAGGGAAGGGGCTGTTGGAAACTGTTTACAAGTGCTACCAGGAAAACGGCAGTGAACAGGCAGTGGTCAGAGAGAAAGCATGGCAACAGAGCCCCACCAACAATGTCAAGTAGAAATGGAGCTACCGACTGATAACAAGGCATTGTTTATACACCTGCTCTCAAAGGAAACGAACGGGGGGGGGGGGGTGCGGGGGGAGCGCACTCCACCATAGCTCATTCAAAAGGAAGGATGCGTTGCAGGTCACCATTTAGATAGCTGGACTGATGCTTGTCTCTCCTCTCCTTAGTACGCCCTGTTGACTGCTTAGCTCCCTGACCATATAGTGCAAGATACTACCAAACAGTGGGAGCTTGTTTGATTTGCCCCCAGTTTATCAAGCAGGGACAAACGTGGAGCCCAAAGCTTTCCCTGCATTCCCACTGCATCACGTCACTCCACGATGTTAACATTCTTGCCTGGCCTTCTGAAATCTTCTTGCACCTGGCCATAGGAGAGTCCCCCAAAGAAACAGAACCACTAGGACGTACATACACACACACACACACACACACACACACACACACACACATATCCTGGGGGCTCTTCATGTGATGGTGTTTCCAGGGATGATTATCATTTGAGTCCATGAGCTGAGTAATGAGGCTCTATCATCCCCAATAAGTGAATGGAACAAAAAAAAGGAAGAACTGTATACCTAGGCATTCATGTGCACACACACACACACACACACACACACACACACACACACGAGAGTGAGAGGAGATTATGAGGGATTAGTTCATGCAAGTATGGAGTCAGAGAAGGGTCTGACTTCAGCTGGAGAGCAGGGGAACTGCCTACGAAATACCAGTCCAAACCTAAGGTCTAACAATGAGGGTGACCAATGGTACCAGTCCTGGTCTAAGTGCAAAAGTCTAAGGTCCAGCAGCTCCAGGGCCCGAGGGAGGGAGTGGATGTCCTTGCTCAAGACACAACAGCAAATTCATTTTTCTTCTGCTTTTTCTTCACTCCAGCCCACAGCTGAGAGGATGATGCCCACCCACACTGGTGATGACAGACCCTCTTCACCGGGTATATTGATGCAAATGCTAATCTCATCTGGAAACACCGTCGCACACAGGCATGATGAGTTCCAGGCAATCTGGACATTCCATATCCTAGTCAAACTGACACATAGATTAACTACTTTACTCGTCTTTCCTATCTGTTTTCCGTTTAGTGCCCAGAGTGGACATTCAGAAACTCAGACTGGAACATAGCCTTCCCTCTGGAAAAGCTCTCCAAAGTTCCCATTTCACTTAGAATAAAGTCAGAATGTTTGAACAGAACACTGAAAGATCCCGCATGGTCTTATCTGTGTTTGGGTGACAGCTTCCTTCCCTGACACTCTCCTTGTCAACTCTGTGCTAGCTGGATACCTGTCGCTCTCTCCTGTCCCGTACCGTTGAAATCTCTCTTCCATGTCTTGCATACCAAACTCCTATTAATTCTTTAACTCTGAAGTCAAGAAAGCTACCTCCATCACACCCTACCCTCTCCTCCAACCTAGACACATGAATTTAACCACCATGTTGGTTGGTCCAATCTTATTCTCAGTCCCTTATAGTCTTAGCTCCCAATCCCAATCCATAATTCAAGGGCATTTATTTAGTTGATAGCCTTCTATTCCCCACTAGAAAGTCAGCCCAAGCAGGGTAGGGGTCTTGATTTTTTTTTCTTTTCATTTTTTGAAGTTAGTTGATACATTCCTGGTGCCTCATGTAGTCCTGACACATAAGGGATATCTAATGAACATCTTCTAAATAAGTTAGCAGTGTGAAAACATATTGTCAGTCACAGCTGTCCTCAAGAGCCACAGTCAGGACTGGAGATGTAGTTCAGTGGTTGAGTACAAGTTTAGAATGCATGAGCCCCCAAGTTGCAATTCCAGCACCCTACACAAGAAAAGGCAACAGCAAGCCCTGGTATGGAGAAGTTTTATTGGTCAACTTTATGCCCAAGACTCAACTTGTTCCTGTCCTTAAAACCATGCTCATTCTTACACATCCCTGGAACTCCCCCCCCCCCACTGGTTGTCAGCTGTCAATATTAAAAATCATGAATTCATCCTCTGCCTCAGATAAGCTCTGCATCTTAGCAGACACTGAACTATGTAACATGCCTGCACCTCTGCATTTGAAAGTTTATTGAGGCCATCTGATATAGGAAGTCCTTAGTGATTTACTCTCCATCCTTCAACGTCACTGAGAGATGCTGTCTTTTGGTCTGCTTCTATCAACACTAGTCTGTATAAGTGAATGGAAAACTGTTTATTTAATGTGATTTTCTTTTGTTAAGGTTACTTTCAAAACCTCCTGGAGTCATGAAAAAAAAAATCTTCCTTCCTATGACACGTGTGTTCTGTAGGTGATGTTGGTCACAGGACACAGATTTCCTTCCAGAATTGAAGAGAGCTTAGCCCCTTTGAGGCTGAGGCTGGCTTCTGTCAATCAGTGTACCAGGCACCTGACCACACACATGCTGTGCTGCACATTGCCCCATGGAGCATGCAGCGCGGGGGGTGATGATAACGGGAAAGGGCTTCCGTTCCCATAGACATGATGAACATGGAAATTCTCATTTGCAGCAAAGAATTCATCTCCTTGTTAGATTCCCTAAAATATGCCAAAATGTTTTTAAATTCAGAGCTCTACACTTTATGTCATGAATATTTCATTCCTTATCTTCAGATATTCTAGTTAGCATAGATGCTGGGGAGAATATTTCATACCAGATAAGGAAAGATTACATTTGCATGCACACTCACTGTCTTAGTCTGTTTGGGGCTTCTATTACAAGATAACATAAACTAGGTGATTTTTAAACAACACGGATGTGTTATTTCTCAGCATTCTGGAATCTGCAACTCCAGGACCCAGACAGATTTGCTGCCTGACAATGCCCACTTCCTAGTTCATAGGTGATGAACTCTCTCTTCATCCTCATGCAGTGGAAGGGGTAAGGGTATGCTCTGGGGACTCCTTCAAAAGGGCATAATTCTACACACAAGGATTCTGCTCTTGTGATTAATCACCTCCCATAGGCCTAAAACCAGCACACAGAGGGTTTGGATTTCAACATACAAGTTTTAGGGGAACATAAACCTCAGCCATAAGGGGGAAAGGACCAAATACACCCAAGACCCTATTATTATGCCAGCACAACGCTTTATCCAGCTCTGTAAACAGGCAGAGGAAGTGGGGTCTGTACATAGAAATGCATGGAGAGGTTTCATAAACATAATGGCTGAGGCAGAATTAACATTTAAGTATTAACTAAAAGCAAGCAAAAATCACTTGCACAAGCATTTTCTCCAGACGGACCACAATCAGATGTTAACATCTCCGATGAAATGCAACCCTGAACCATGGTGTGAACAAGCTCTTCCATGACAAATCTGCCCTTGTCAATGTTGGGGTGAGTGCTCCCTTCTAATTGCAAGCAGTTGCAATGACAAAATTCATCAGACCTAGAAACAGAGGCAGAGTATGTGTAATTAAGCTACTGTCCCATGGGAACATCTGACCCAATGGCACTGCAAAAGCCCAGGAGTTTGCACCCTGGCCAACTATAAGGCGTTTGACTTAGATTTTTTGTTTTGTTTTTGTTTTTAAGTTTAAATATCCTAGATAAATACAACCTAAATGAAACTATCAGACTTAGAACTTCCTACTTATATAGGTCTTTTCCTTCAATGTTTTGTGTTTTATAGAATAGAGATATGTTCACTGCTTTGAGCCCTGGATAAGAAACAGGTGTAGAGGCAGCTGCCCCAGGCCATTGGGTTATCAGTCACGTTAGACACAGGGCCCGTCACTTCTCACAAAAATTTCAGTGACTATTAGACCTGCATTTTCCCACTTCCATGCCATTCAGGGCGAAAGGAGACATTTCAGAATTGAGCCCGGGAGAGGCCTCCATGGTGTGTAGAGGCTGGTTAATTCCACGTTCTATAATTTAAAAGAATTTTTAAAAGATTTTATTAGAGAGGTTCTTGATTTCAAGTGGTGCTTCAGGAAGTAATCAACTGTTTTACTGTCATATTGAGCTAATAGCTACTTCTCAGCCTGTATAAACTCAGATAACATCCATATTCTGGGCTACACTCGGGAGCATGGAGCATTTGAGAACAAACTGCCTGGAAAGAGGCCTTTACAGCTAAAAGCCCACAAGACCCATGCATCAGGAGGGAACACACACTGATCACGGAAATGAGGTAAGTGGCAGATTATATCTGTACTGGTTTATTTCTGATTACATGGTAAACGAGGAAGAGAATGGGAGAGTGACTGAGCCCAAGAAAGCAAGAGAGAAAAGGAGTGAGAATACAGGAATGGAAAAGCCACTCCGGCAACGTCAAATACAAAACGTATTCGCATTACATGGGAGCCTCCAGCTAATTCAGCTAACTTACTCAGTTTAAAAAGTCATTTAAGGCCGGGCGATGGTGGCGCACGCCTTTAATCCCAGCACTCGGGAGGCAGAGCCAGGCGGATCTCTGTGAGTTCGAGGCCAGCCTGGACTACCAAGTGAGTTCCAGGAAAGGTGCAAAGCTACACAGAGAAACCCTGTCTCGAAAAACCAAAAAAATAAAAAAAAAGTCATTTAAAATACTTTTGTCAATACGCTTTCTTTACTGATGATTTAGCTTTCTAACCATTGATAAGATATGTCAAAATATTGAGATCTAGAGTTTTGGCTTTTAGGATAATTACTCATTAATTTGAGCCAGCTTTTTAGAATGGAGCCAGATCTCCTTAGAGGAAAAATATAGGGCCAGGACAAACACTCCGATGTCACCATCACCACCATCACCACCACCGCCTTCACCACCACCGTTACCATCAGTACCATTGCCACTATCACCCCCATCATCACCACCAACATCACTACCCCCACCCCCTCACCCCCATCATCACCATCACTGTTATTACCACTACCGTTGCCATCGATACCACCACCATAACCACAAGCATGACCAACATCACCACCACCATCACTCACTATCACCATCACTACTAATACCACCACCACAGACACCAAAACCACTACCATTGTGCCACCACCATTTCTATCACATGTGTGCAATTACCATTGCTCTCTCCACCATACCACCACTAGTCTGCAGATCAAAAATAAATATTTCTTTTGCATTGTCTAAAAATGTGGTCTACGTTTCCTTGCTTAGGGGAGGACACGAAGGTTTTCTTAAGTAAGAAGAACTGTATAATCTTGCAACAATACCTTCAGTGCATTAAATATTTGAGAGTATACAAACGTAGAGGTGGCTCCGTGCGAGCGAAGACAACACATGAAGACATTTCTTCCCCACAGCCTTCAGTTACTGAGTTCACTCTGTCAGTTCCAACAGCCACCTCTCCACTCACTTGTTAAATACATAATAGCACTTCACATCAAAATCAGGAATGGCGTCCTTGAGTTTTGAAATAACTCAACCTTTACGGCCCACTCATTTATAAACTATGGTGATGTTCTTATGAAAAGGGAATCATTTTTCTCCTTCATATTTTGTAGACTGAAAACATAAGAATGCTGGGAGTTCCTTGAAATTTCATCGTCAAGTCTTGGTGAAAGTGGAAGGCGAGATGCCAGCACAGCCAATCCAGCCACACCGACTTTTCCAATGAGTCACGTGACCCACTGACTCCATTGGCATTGTGGGAATTCCATTCTGTACTCAAGCTACACAAAGGTAAGAAGCTTGTGCTTAAAGGGAGCTTTAAAAAATTTAGATATGGGGAGAGAGGGAGATCTGTGGTTGATATGTAAAATGAATAAAAAATTCCTTAATAAAAAAATTAAGATAAATTTCTTTCTGAATTTCAAAACGTTCTTAATGCAGGGAATTATAAAATTTAAAAAAAAGTTTTAGCTCATTTTTCATTCAGCAAGGAATAAAAGCAGAAGGTTGACAAATTGATATAATCAAGCCATTGACTCAAAATTAAGATCTAGCCTGCCTTTCAAGTCCTCCAGGCACACCGCTTGGCCCCTTTAATTACCCTTCAACATCTAGGTGAGCAAGGGTTTAATGTAAATAACCAGCTTCCTTTCCAATGAAAATAATGTTTACTTTACATTTCATGGAACGGCAGCATAATATGTTGGTTATATTTACAGCAATAATCATTTCAGAAATTCTGACATTTTTTTTACCATTGGCAAGGTATTCAAGGGCACAGTTGCACACTTAACTCTCATTTGCATCAGGAAAGGCTATCAGCTCAGGCACAGGAAATGTAGTCTTTTATTCATGGATCCATTCATTCACGCATTAACTGGATGCCTACTATGTGTTCTCTGCACTAGAGATGTGGTCATGAGAAAAATATCCTGTGTGCTCACACGTTTCATGTCCTACACCTTAGCTGAGGACAGACAAAAAAATAAAAACAGTAAGTCTATGATAAATAGGGGGAAATGTTTTGCATAAAAATAAAATAGATGTTCCCTGAATCTATGTGTGTGTGTGTGTGTGTGTGTGTGTGTGTGTGTGCATGTGTGCATGTGTGTGTGTATAACAATAACAACTACAAAAAATAATCATAGGGTTGAGAGTGGGGGGACATGTGAGAGGTTGAAGGAAAGAAAGGGAAGAAGGAAATGATGCAACTATATTTTAATCAGAAATAAATAAATAATAAAGTAGAAACAGAAAGGGTGGGGAGCCTTCCTTTTTTGTTGTTTTTCTGTTTTTTGGGTTTTTTTTTTTTGTTTTGTTTTTATTTTGTTTTGTTTTTCGAGGCAGGGGTTCTCTGTGTAGTTTTGGTGCTCTGTGGACCAGGCTGGCCTCGAACTTACACTCACAGAGATCCGCCTGGCTCTGCCTCCCGAGTGCTGGGATTAAAGGCGTGTGCCACCACCGCCCAGTGCCTTCCATCTTCTTGATGGCTCAGGAAAGCATCAGTGGGAAGCAGACATTTGAACATAGTTTTAAATGTTTCATTAGGATATGTCATTTGTATACAATACGCTTTATTCTGACATTGTCATACACATACATGCTACTTTTTCATCATACTCCTCTCTCTTATCCTCCACCCATCCTCACGACTTCCCCTCATCTTCCGATCTAGCATCCGTTTTGTTTTGTTAATGCCTCCCGCTCCCAACCTTAAGAAACAGAGGAGCCCATGAACTCCTACTTCTTCCACAACAGAGTGTTGACCTACCCAATTTTGTGCGGACCTATGTATGCATAGAGTGTAACAACTATGTCATGCCCGGAAGTCTGTGCTCCATAATGCCCTTCCCCATCCCCCTCACGCAGTCCCTCAGCTCTTCTATTCTTCCCACTGGTTCTGCAATGTTCCTCAAGCCTCAGAAGGAGGTGACAGAGACGTTCCACTTACGGTAGGCAATCAACGGCCACTTACTATGAGTCTCTGCAGTCACCGCAGACCACTGCAAAAGAGAAGTTCCCCTGACCAATGTTGACAGAAGCACTGATTATGGGCATAGACATAGTCATTTAGAAGGCTAGTTCATGGGCTTCAGTATATTCTTGAGGGGATAATGGGGCCCCATAACTATCTGACTAGATGTGAAAAACCTGGGGACCCAGCAAGATGGAGGAGCAAAGACAAAGCCCAACATGTGCACATGTCAGATATTTTCATAAACAGCATAAGGATAAACAATGGAATGTGCTGGGACAGGCTCGCAAAGAGGACAGAACAGGAGGGATGTTAGAGAGGGCCATTGTTGTGTGACAAGACTTTTCCTGAGGAGATACAACACACACGGTCTACTTATCCCAGATATGGAGCCCATATCCTGGCAAAAGTATGGATACCACCAAAGTCCAACTTGATGAACCGTGAGTGTTATTGGGGTTACTTACAGGAGCAGAAATGACTCAAGGACAGCTGGATTACCAAAGCCCACCCCAGCATTAGTGACAGTTCACAAAAGCTGGAAACATGGAGCACACTGAACAGCCCGTAGGCAACTCAACAGGTAGAGAGTGTCCTTTCCAGGTGCCTCAACAGTTGGTCTAAATCTCTTACAGGCAACTCGGTTAGTTTCTGCTTCCTCTAGGCAGCGTGTCTTGTGTCAGAGCCTTCTTCGCAGCTTGGCCTGCCTGAGAGTGATTCGCGGCAGCTAGACTTGTTTACTCTTGGGAAGACAAGGCCTGGTGAATCCAGTCAGTTTTAGGGACTTCCTGAAGCTTTTTGAGTTGTTTGTCTTCTTGCTTAAGGAACTTCCCTGTAGGATGGAATGTTTCAATGTTGGATGAAACTGTTACACAAGAGTCATGCAATCTGACAAGACCTTTGTAAACTCGCTTTTTTTTCTCTCTCTCTCTCTGAGCAAGAGGACCGCCACTGGATCTTGAGTAGTGGAATGAAACATTCCACTAACATTTTAAGACGGATGAGAGAAGAATGGCTTTAGTCAAACCAGTGCACAGTGTAGGCTGTGACAAGGGAGCTCTACTTTCTAGGTAGACTCAGCAGGATTCCCTGATGGGTTGGAACAGGGGTCAGAATAGAGGGAGTTAAAGATGGCTGTGGGTTTAGTCTGTGTGCTGGAAGGTAGAGCCACCAGTACTGACAGGACAGAGTAGGGTTGGAGCAGATTCAGGGAGGGATCATCAGTCTCTGTTGGGTGTGGTTAGAAGTGTCTCCTAGATGGACAGAGAGAGGGAACAAGGAGACAGCTTGATTTATCGGTCCATAGTTCTGAAGGATCATCAAATCAGGAATCTGAAACCATAGAACCACCTTAAGTTAGCAACTGAAAACATTGTCCCAGGATGACACTGGACATTCCAACACAAGGAGAAGATGATGAGGAACTGGCAGAGGCAGAAGACAGATACAGGAGTCTCTAAGGGACACACTACTCAGCCGTGACAATGAAAATTCACAACACATCATCAGTTACAAAGCGGAAGTCGTTGTCAGCTTGGTCAGTGAGGTGGGTTAAAGACAGAACAGGGAGCTTGAGAAGACTCAAAAGAAGCTCTACAGGCAGTGGCCAGCAGTCAGGAAATATCCAAGTACATCACCGGTTCAGCTGGTGAGATGGCAGGTGTCTTAGCTAGTACCAGCTGTCAACTTGACACAACCTAGAGTCATTTAAAAAAAAAAAAAAAAAAAAAAGGAGTTCCAGTTAATCTTTATCAGGGTGGTTTGTGGATATACCTGTGAGGGGTTGTCTTGATTGTCTCAGTTGATGTAGGAGAACGCAGTCCACTGTGGGCAGGGACATTTCCTTGGCAGGTGGCCCTGGGTGATCTAAAAAAGGTAGCTAATGAGGAGCTACCAGCAAACAAACAGCATCCTCCACGGTTCCTACTGTACCTCATTGGCTGTGAATGAGTTCCTGGCAGGAAATAATGCCACATAGAATAGCAAATAGGTCTGCCTTCAAGTCTCAGCCCTCAGTTCCTGCCTGCCTTCCCTCGGTGATGGGTCATGGCATGTAAGATGAAATAAACCCATTCCTCCCCAACTGGCTTCCAGTCACAGTGTTTTTATCTCTGCAAGAGAATGAAACAGCAGTTGGCACTAGACTGGTTCTCCCCAGCAATCACTATGAAATGTTACCATGTCCCAGTCAAAGCAACAAAGGACGTCCTTGTTATATTTTTCACAAACAACTTGTACAGTTCTCTAATCGACCTAGAGATACTAACGGAGCTAGTGTTTAACAAAATACCAAAATGTACACTGACTGGATCAAGTGTCCATCCCCATCTTATGTTGCATTATCTTGCTGTTTCAGCAATAATGTTAGTGATTATGCATTGGCCACATGCCTAAATGCTGGTCCAACTCTATAATTTAAATACATATCATACTAATAGCATCATTGTGCAAAAGCCAAGGAGTATTGGGTGGTTGGTGTTTCCCTTCTTCTTGAAACACAAAGAGGCTCTTTCTGCTGCCCAGGATGCAGGTGTACCACCGGAAAATGCCTCACAAATTCCACCCATTCATTTGCCTGGGAAAAATAACTAATTTCTTAAGTTATAAAAATATACTTGCTCTTCCACATGAGTGGGTGGAGGGAAATGGGTAAAAATGTACTGTTCCCAGCTAATTTGTTTATGTAGTGAAACCATGAAAATGTTTCAAAATAAACTGTCTTAAATAATTAGGCTACCTTTTGCTCGGACCTGACAGTTGTATTTGTTGTTTTGTGCTGAACCTTCACCTGCACACATGAGAGCTAGGTGAAGCCCATTTCTGGGCATTTAGGTTTTGTCTTTTCAAAGTGTCGCTTGTTACGGATACATGTCTAGAAAAAACTCAGATACCTTCTTAAAATCTTGACTGCATGGAACTTGTTGCAATATTGTCTTTAAAAACCTGAGTGTGGAACGCTAATCATGCCACGTGCCATCCCCCTGCCACATGGAGCACTAGACACATGTGAAGTATCACAGAGCATCTCCACAATGTCTGGACTTGACCTGGAACCTGCAGTGGCTGCCACGACAAAATGGCTTCAGTTGCAGCTTGGACAGTTCTTTTGAATCCAGATTAAATGGTTCTAAAATATGATCGTTACAAAAGGGCTACTTGTTTGGTGTCATGGGCCATGAAAGAAAAGGCATAATTAGCATTAACTGCTAATCTTCCTAGTCCTGCTGACTTCCCTGGTCCAAAGTAGGAATGTCTGATTCTCAGGCCATTCTTACTAGAGTGGTCAAAGACATGACGTGAGAGCTTTGGCTTGCACACTGGTATGGCTCCTGCCAACATCCTGTTTCCTGGTTCTTGGCTAGTCTTCTTGGTACAGTGGAGAAGAAGGCATTGAGGATGGTAAAGCATTGTGTAAACTGCTAAAATTAGCCTCACATTATTTGTGGCTCTTTTAATTTCCCTACTTCCTTCATTTCAAATCTGGCATCATCTGCCTTGTACAGTGACCTGCAGCAGACGTGAGGCTGTGTGTGTTGGAGCCCATCCTGCTGCTGTAAGTAACCCTTGGAGCAGGGAACCCTCTTGTCACCTAAGAACAAGCCTAGGCTGGCCTTTAGAGCAGCCGTTCTCAACCTGTGGGTCGAAACCCCTGGTGGTGGTGGCGGGGCGGGGGCGGGGGGAGTGGGGGGTTGTCAAACAATCCTTTTACAGGGCTCGAATATCAGATATCCTGCATATCAGATATTTACATTATGATTCATAACCGTAGCAAAATTACAGTTATGAAGTAGCAACGAAATGACTTTGTAATGGGGAGGGGTCACCACGACACGAGGTGCCACAGTATGGGGAAGGTTGAGAAGCACTGCTCTAAAGGGAGGAGAATCCTGGGTGAGGACTGGCTCCTGAGGTGCCTCAGCTCCCTCAACCCTAAGCAAATGAGATAGCCTTTCCAGGAGAGTCAGACAGGGACCAGACCAGGGCACTCCCCTGAGCAGCCCCAGTGGCCTGGGTTTGGTTTAGCATCTTACAGACAATGGCTACCCCATGGGAAAAAGCAGCCATGCCCTATGCTAACACCAACAGGGCCTCCTTCTCTTCCTTCCCATATTAAAGGAACCCTGCCTCCACTAATCCTTATCTGATGACAACAACCGATTTTTGTCAGGAACTGCTTAGTCTGTCCTAAGGGGACAAATTGAACCATGAACACTGGAAGGTTTCATTGGAAAAGGTGTGCTAGCTAAGGAAACACAAATGAACTCTCACCTACAGCCCACAGGTTGAAGGAGCTGCAAACCAAATGCTGCAATGATGAGATACTCTGCAGAACCACCTGCAAAGTAAGGAATGAAGTTTCAAATCTGCCAACAGCAGAGAGCATGTGCTCTTGAGGCAGACTCTTCTCCCTCTCCACTTAGCTTTGATCTTTGTGGGTCCGAAGCCCCAGGAGCAGAGTAAAGAGAGGGGCATTGTATTCCATTTTCTGGGTCCCACATGCAGAAAGAAGCCTCAGGTGAGTGGGAGAGAGAGCCCAGGAAACATTGTGGAAGAGAGAGCAGAAAGATAGCAAAAACCAGAGAAATTTTTGTGAGAGTGAGTCTCTTGGGAATGTCAGAAACTACACCCATAAAGTCTCACCAATAGGACTGCCTAAACATGAGCTGAACAAAGACAGCAACAACAGGCATGTCAAAGTGGATGGAGAAAAGCACATGAAGCCTCAATCAGTCTTGTTTTATCTCTTCTGGGACGCCAACACCCCTCCTCACAGGCCTGTGTCCAGGTTTTAAGAACCCCATGCTTGTGGCTGGGTGGCAGTGACAGACACCTTTAATCCCAGCACTTCAGAGGCAGAGGCAGGTGGATCTCTGTGAATTCAAGGCCAGCCTGGTCTACAGAGTGAGATCCAGGAAAGGCACAAAGCTACACAGAGAAATCCTGTCTCAAAACACGCCCCCCAAAAAGAACCCCATGCTCTCTTCTCTGTCCTTCCAGTTCTAGGTAAGCTGACTCCTGCTGTCTATTAAGTACTGTAAGTATTGTTGGCACTCCATGGATTCAGATGGTTGGGAAGCTTCTAGAAGCTGAGAGGTGATACCAGATAAATCATCATGCAGACAGCAGGTGCAAATAAAAAAAAAGTAGGAAAGAAGGAAGGAGGCCAGAGTTTATAAACTAGCTGCAGTACCAACATCTATCTGTGTTCTGGGACTCTGCTATAGTCTGATTTCTGTTCACAAGCCATTCAGTGATTCATGCCCATACTGAGTCACTTTCACTAACTACATTTTGTCAAGTATGTGAGTTTGTTGTGTATGTTATTAGGAAGTACTGCGAGCTGGTTTCTTTGAACAATAGAAATGTATTTCCCCATGGTTTCAGAAAATGAAAGTCAAGGAGTCCAGAGGATCCATTTCTCTTGGGGTCCTTCACTCTGGCGTAGAGAGAGCTGTCCTCTCCTCTTCCTGTGCCTTCATGTGGTTGCCCACTAGGCATGTGCTTGTATGAGACTTTTCTTATAAGAACAACAGACACATTGTACTGGAGATCACCTAATTAATCCATTTTAATTTAATTTTTTGTGCTCCCTCACAGACACCCAACTTGACACCAAATAGAATCATCTAGAAAGAAGGTCCCTCAGCTGTGAAAACACCTCCCTCACATTGGCCTGTAGGTAAGTCTGTGGGAGCATTCTTTTGATTAATAATTGATATGGTAGGGTTGAGACCACTGTGGATGGTGCCATCCACGGGCAGGCTGGTTGTATAAAACAGTCAGCTGAGTAATTCATGGTAAGCAAGCCAGTAAGCAGGGTTCCCCTGTGGACTTTATTTCAGTTACTGCCTCCAGGTTTCTGCCTTTAGTATCTGTGTGACTTCTCTTCTTGACTGACTACAAGCTGTAAGCTGAAACAGAACCCTTCCTCCCCCAAGGTGTTTTGCTTGGTCATGATATTTTTCTCACAGCAATGGATAGCAAACTAGTACAGTTATCAACGTAAAGAACTTGTCTCCCAATGCAATCACAGTTGGGAGTGCTGGGACTTAGAGGGGTCACTGTATTTTCCATGTGAATTGGAGAGGAACACAGTTCAGCCCATCACTGCGTACACTTTTATAAACAGTTTATAGACAGGGGTCACTGTCTATTTACATAGTAAAACTTTACATTGCTCATTAGCCATTTCCTTTGTTAAAAGCCTTTTTGCATCAGGCTTGCGTCTGTCATCCCTATGCTCTAGAGGCTAAAACAGGAGGATTGTGAATTTGAGATCATACTGGACTCTATGGCCCAAAAGGTAAGTAAATAAAAATAGAACCATCATTCCCCTGTGAGCTTTAATCACTTCTATATTCCAAGTAATATTCAGGTTTCAGAATCTTTCCATCATTCCCTTCTCACATCTTTTCTTCCTTTCTTCTAGGTGAACCAGGTGATCACTTAATCATGAATACTGTTTATGCAAGTTTATGTAAAGACCTCTAATGGAAACTCCGGGCCCAGAGCTTGGGAGAAAGTTCCAGGCCAGCAATCTTCTAGCACATCGCCTCACATTGGTGCTAGGAAAACGAATGCCTCCTGACCTCTGTCAAGGAAAAACACAACCCTTTCTCCAAAGAGAGTACCATGTCACTGTGTCCTCTGAATTGAAACACTCCCTCCTGGAGGGAGGAAGGACGCTGGTAAGATCCAGGAAGCGAAGTGAACTTGTAAGACTTTTGAAGCTCAGAAAATGACGAGACTAAAAGGCTCTTCCTTGAGCTTATAGAAGCAGTAATCAGGAAAACCGCTGGTGAAGAGGAGACACTTTTGGGGAACCACCTGCAAGTTGAACAGGGAGCTCCCGGCATACAGACTTTTATGAATCATCGCCCACGCTAGGGTGAGGTTTTACAGTCTTGTGGCCCCCAGGGGTTCACCGAGCTCCTGTAACTCCTCATCCATGTTCCCATAAATAACTCCAAAGAAACCCGTTGTCTCACCAAGCTAGGCTTGTGTGGAATTTGGTCTGTTTGTGCTCTATCTGGGGGACCGGTGTTCGTGCATGTCTTCCCAGGAAGAGTTTTGCAACAGAAAATAAAAACAAGGTCTAAAGGGTCATGACTTGGAAACATGGGTAGAGGTTGATTTGAATGGCATGTATGTTCCAGTTGTGGAAGAGATAACATGGATTCTAGTAGTCCCCCAAACAAAAGGAAGTTAATAGACAATTATATTTACCAAAGTGTTGGTGGAAGTAGTCTATAGGTTTCTATTCTATAGGTTGCCCATGCTGTCTTGTAAAATTCTTAGGTCTGGGTCTGTGGAAACATGTACTGCTAAGTTAAAATTTTCCCAGGCTTTTACCTAGTAGTCACAATGATGCTAGGTATAATGCATAAGTTAGTAATGAACGGCTGTGAAAGGAAAGGAAGATTTTTTTTCCTCAGTCTGCAACATTCCATCTCTCCCTAATCACTGCAGTCTGTAGAATCTTCAACACAGATGTGGCCTTGTCAGGGAATTTTGGTTCACATCACAGAGAAGTCGACAGAATGGCTGTGATTTGTGCCCTCCCCATCTCAACTTTGTGTGCTTCTTCTGTGGCCAATTCTTGTTCGCATCCTTCCCCATGATAAACTGTGCGTAACACCTTTCACTCAGCTCTATGATCTTCCTAGCAAATATTAAACCTCACATTGGTTTCAAGAACCCCCTACATTTGTCATTGGTGTCAAGTGAAGGTAATTTTGTGTGAACTGGACATCTCTCTGTGTCACGACACTCCTGTTTCTTTCAGGCCTATCTTAGAAATAATTAGTTACAAATTCTTAAAAAACAAAAACATAAACAAAATAATGAGATCTACTGTTGGAAAGCAAAATACAGCATCTTAGGTTCATCATATTCCTTTAACTCTATAAATCTATAAATAGTATCATTAGTTGCTGTGGAACTAGCTACACACTGTTAAGCAAAGGAAAACTAATAAATAGACCAGAAACCAAAGCTGACTTATTCACAAAGTCAATAAAGCTGATAAACTTTGGACTGGATTGAGCTGAACAAAACTGCAGAAGGCATAATATATATATTCAACATAAAGGCTTAGTAAACTCAGCAGGGAAAGGACAATTGTTGTGGCTGAAGTGCGGAATGTCCCCCATAGGCTCACGTGTTTAAACACTTGGCCCACAACCAGTGGTGCTGTTTTAGAAGGTTGTGACACCTTCCAGAATTGCAACCTTGCTGAAGGTAAGTTGGTCATTAGGGGTGAGCCTTGACATAGGATGCCCCGAATCCACTTCCTGTCTATGTTCAGGACAGGACTGATTCATACATCCATTTAGGACTTCTTGACAGCGGGCATATCTGATCAGATGTGTTGTGCATGTTTCGGCCACTGAGTTCCGAACTGTCAAACCGAGAGCCAGAATAAAGCTTCTTTCCTTATGGTGCTTTTGTTGATATTTTGTCAGGGCAACTAGAAAAGTAACACACACACACACACACACACACACACACACACACACACACAGAGTTTCAGGAGTGGGTGGCTGCTGTACTAAACCTGACCATGTGGTGCCTAATAAGACTTTGGAATGGGTTTGTGGGAGGAATGTGGCTTTGGAACTTGGGGCTAGGAAATCCTTAGAATACTTGAACAAAACTTAGCTTCTGGTGGAAGTTAAAAAGACCAGCTTGCTGAGAGAACTGTGGCTCATGGGAGGCCATCTCAGCATTTCAGAGGGGAACGGGAACTCTGGAGAACTGGGGCTAGAGATCCTTCATGTTATATTCTGGTAAACGAATTTGGCTGCATTCTGCCTGTGTCTGGAGAGCTTGAATGAGAATGAATTTAAAGGCAATGGACTAATATATTTGGCAGGGGAAATCTCAAAACAGGATGCAACTCAGGCTGTGACACTGTTACTGCTTATTCCTCTATCAAGGTCTAAGAGCAACAGCTAAAACTAAAAAATATGAAAATGTTCAGTCTGGTGGAGAAAGGAATTGGTTTAAAGTTTTAGACAGAGTGAGTTCTGGGAAAACAGCTATAACTGTTAAAGTGATAAGCCCCATTAGAAAGAAATAGTGTGTCCTATACTGGACAATAGAAAAAGTGTCAAAGGGCAAGACCTCACTCATTCAAAGCTCCATCTTGTGTAAATGCAAATTAATTAGAAAGGAAAGCACCAAGACTAAGATGTCACTGCAGAGATTCCCTGCTCAAAAAGCACCACCTAGGAAACTATTTCTCAGGGTCATCACACAGAGGGTAGTGAAACTGTGGTCAAAGCAACTGAATCTCAAGCTAGCAGCAGAACTTGGCAACACTGTCCATATTGTTTCACACGAAAGATACAAGTGATGGGGGTCACAAAGGTTTGTATCAAGGTCTCTGAAGGTTTCTGAGGCCAGGCAATATATGTCAGGGTCAGAGTTCCTGCAAGGGGGCCCCAAGAAACCACTGTGTGAAACTGTAAAGATTAAGTCCAAGTCACAGTGGAGACATCAAGATGATGGAGATGCCAGGACTGTGGAACATCTGTTAAAGAAAACTGCTGGTGTGAAATGGAGCCTGCCAAACAGAGAAGTTGTGTGCTACAGGGGGAAGAGGTTTAGGAACAGTGCTTCCAAAGCCCTTTGGAGCTCACATAGTTCCATTACAAGGCTTATATGCCGACATGGAGTTGAAGGATATGGTGTTTGCCTTGTTGGGTTTCACTCCTGAATTGTCCTGATCCTTCCTTGCTCTGCCTCTATTCCTCCCTTTTAGGACAGAAATGTTTACTCTGTGCCATTATATGGGGCAAGTATGTAACTTGATTATTTATTTACTTATTTTGCATTTTTGTTCTTTACTTTTAATTTATTGATTGCTTATATGTGTGAGCATGTGTATGAGTATGTGTGTAACTTGTTTTTAAAAACATTTTTGAACAGGTTCATAGTTAAAATATTGCCTTGACTCTCAAAAGAAACTGGACTTTTGTTTAAAGACTATTGGAATTTTTTATATTGGAATGAATGCATTTTCATTACGAGATAGGATGAGCCATGGGGCATCAAGGCCAGAATGCTGTGATTTGGATGTGAAATGGTCCCTTGAGGATTATGCGTTTAAACACATAGTCCAGAATTGATGACACGGTTTGAAAAGTTATAAAACTGAAGCGCTGCTGGAGGAAGTGGATCACTAGGGGTGGGACTTTTATAGCCCCGCCCCATTTCCTGTTTGCTCAACGCTGCTTTCTATCTGTGAACTCAGTGTCTCCAGCTGCCTCATGCTCCTGCTGCTCTGACTTTGATCCTCAAACTGACCCAGACTGAACCCTCTTTCCCTAACTTTCTTTTGCCAGTATTTCATCACAGCAAGGAGAAAATTAACTGCGGCAAAAAATCTTTTCACAAAGTAGTGCTAGAAAAATCCGTTTGCTGTATGCGAGTGCCGTTTTAATCTGAACTTCGTGCCTTATAAAAATTAATTTGAAATGGATCGTGTACCTAAATGCAAAAATCAAAAATTGAAATGTATTCAGAATAAAATATAAGATGAAAACCACATTAACCTTTTAGTCAGCCAAAGAGACAAGCATCATTAAAAGGAAATCTCATGTTCTGTACTGGGACTGTGATCCCCTAAAAGAAAGGCTCCAACCTATCCAAGGCTCCATCTTGCAAAAGTGCCCTAGTCTTTTGGAGCTCAGAAAAGAACTCAGGCAAGAGTTCACTTCTTTAAAACATTTCCTCATTTAGGCAGTTGTGCACGTGTGTGTGGGCGGGGGCGGGGGGGGGGGGGGTTGCGGGTGTCTGCAGGCCCATTGGAGTTGGAGTTACAGATGGAGGTACTGTGCTGCCTAATGTAGGTGCTGGGAACCAAACTCAGATTCTCTGAAAGAACAATAAATACATTTGACCACTGAGCCATCTCTCTAGCCCCAAGCCAAGAGTTTTAAAGTATGACCAAAAAGTATGAACTATGAAAAAAAAATCAGCTTTGCTTTTCAAAATGTAATATAAAGAGCCAGGCTTGGTGGTATATATTTATAATCCCAGCATTTGAGAGATGGAGGCAGGGGGACCCTAAGTTCAAGGGTATCCTAAGTGAGATCCTGGAGAGAGAATGAGAGAGAGAGAGAGAGAGAGAGAGAGAGAGAGAGAGAGAGAGAGAGAGAGAGAGAGAATATAAGAAAATTAAAGACAAAAGTATATAGTAAAACTTATCAGAAAAATATATGTTCAGTAAAGGACTTGTACCTGTATTGTATAAAGAATTCTACAACCTAGGAATAAGAAAACAAATGTTTCTTTTTTTTTAAGTGAGCAGTAGATTTGGGTAGACACTTAATCAAATAAAATATGCATGGCAAACAAGCACATGAATGGATGTGTGACATCATTAGTTACTAGGAAATTGCAAATTAAAACCTCAAGATATCCGGACACACCCATGAAAATGACTATCCGTAAAAAGATTGACTGCACCCAGTGCTGGCAAGAAACCCAAGTGCTGGCAAGAAACTCAGCTCTGCACACCATTGAGAAGAAGATAGAAAACACAAGTACTTTGAGCGTTCCACAGTTTCTTTGAACTATTAAACACCTACTGTGTGACCTAGCCATTCTGCTCACTGACACTCATCAAACCAGGAATAATGAAATCACACAGCAGCACGAGATTTGTCAACATACAACGTAGATTTATTTATAATGGGGAAAATTGGAGCAGGGGTTGAGATGGGTCCAGGAGACAGCTTAGTTGATAAAGTACTTGCCATGCAAGCTTGATGAGCAGAGTGCATGAAAACACAGGAGCAGCAGGACTCAGCTGCAATTGTACTGCAGGGGAGGCAGAGACAGGAGGGAGTCTAGTGCTTGCATGCCAGCCAGGCTAGCCAAAGCAGGAAGCTCCAGGGGCAATGAAAGAACTTAGTCCCCCAAATAAGGAGGAGGGTGATTAAGAATGCCCATCATTTTCCGCCGGGTGGTGGTGGCGGCACACGCACTCGGGAGGCAGAGTCAGGCAGATCTCTGTGAGTTCGAGGGCAGCCTGGTCTACAGAGCGAGATCCAGGAAAGGCGAAAAGCTACACAGAGAAACCCTGTCTCGAAAAACCAAAAAAAAAAAGAATGCCCAGAGAGCAAAACCAAAAAAGAGCCAAACCATTGGCCTCTGTACACACACACACACACACACACACAGAACACCCAAGTGCCTATTAACCTATGAGTGGATCAACTATAAATATGATTGTACCTTACCAGGAACACCAATCCATACTATAGAGGCGTGAACTGTTGGTATTGACATACATGGGTTAACTTTAAAAATAATTGTATTAAGGCAACCCTGATCTACTCCCCAGTATCACCAAACAGGAGTGTGTGCAGCATGATTTCACTAATGAAAAATTCTAGAAAATGCAAGGTAGTAGTCCATAGTGAGAACAACTCAGTGGATGCCTTGGGCCAGGGCTGGATGGAAAGAATACCAATCAGCAATAGAACATTTGGGGGAGCAATGGCTATGTTTGTTATCATGACTATAGTGAGGGTTTCTCTATAGGTGAAGATATTGTCAAAATGCATCAAGTTGTATTATTTAAATAGGCACAGTTTGTCTATGTCAATCATGCCCCAGTAAGGCTGCTGCAGCAAAGAACTATTAGTCAGTGGTATCAGCTAAAAATTAAGATGAATGCCCTTGTGTGATTTGAAAACTGTCAAGGGCTTGTGAACTGGATGACAGGATGAAGCTAGGTCCAGATCAGTGCATTAGAGGAGTTAAAAAAAAGTGAGAAAGAGGAAGTCAATACCTGGTGCAGGAATTAGGGAAAACCCAAGCAGAGGAACATTGCTCAAAACAAGGCCCAAACTGTTTAAATAAGGTGGAAAGATGAGTGTGGTAGTTCGAATGAAAATGGCCCCCATAGGCCCATAGGGAGTGGCACTATTAGGACTTGTGACCCTGTTGGAATAGGTATGGCCTTGTTGGAGGAAGTGTGTCACTGAGGGTGGGTGGGCTTTGAGGTTTCAAATGCTCAAGCCAAGCCCAGTGTCACTCTCTCTTCCTGCTGCCTGTAGATTCAGATATAGAACTCACAGCTACCTCTCCATTATCATGTCTGCCTGCATGCCACTATGCTTCTCACCAGGATGATAACGGACTAAACCTCTGAAACTGTAAGCCAGCCCCAGTTAAATGTTTTCCTTTGTAAGAGTTATTGTGGTCATGGTGTCTCTTCACAGCAATAGAAACCCTAACTAAAACAATGAAGACAGAGAAATTCTTGTCGGTTGAGCCATCTGAACAAATGTCGATGTCTGGAAACTCGACAGCCTGAATTCAATGCACCATTCTACCCCTTATGTATCTTCAGTTTGGCTGTATAGATATTCAGATTTTCAGCTTCAGTACTAATCACATACTGCCATTTTTTAAATATAAACCCATATTTGAGAGTCCTCTCTTCTTACAGAGTACTAATTCTTTTAAAGACCCTGAACTGTTTATGCAACAAATACTGTATTATCTACTTATAGATCTATGGAATCAGCCCCTGGGAAAGTTCCTTTCAAACTGAAGGTCCTTTTATGATAGTTGAAGGACCAGGGATTTTTTTTTTTAACCTCTGAAGGTAACTTATAGTTTCCTTTATGTTCTCAAAGGATTTTAATTTAAAGTTTATTCTTACAATTATGTAAGAATTATACATTCAAATAACTTATAACATCTAGGAAGAAAGAAAGATCTCATGTTTACACCACACTAAATATCTATCAGTAGTACTTGGATGTTTCCTTGTAGAATTTTAGTACACTTTTGAGCATAATGGTGACTAAGATACTTAAGTTTTTGTTTCTCATGAAGATATTCCTGTGTGTTCAGAAAGCTATTGAGTGAGGTGACTAGGTCACTTCCACTTTATGTCTGGGGAATTCCATCTGCTCAAGTCCAAGGGCTTTATAGCGCATTATATGAAACCAGTGCCCACCTCAGTGAGCCAGAACCCTGGATTTGTGTGTGCAGTACACATATTAATTCTCTGTATCTCCCTCATACGGACAAAGGAGACAAATGAGAGGAAGGTTAGTTATAGATAGAATTCTAACTGATTTGACAGCAAGCATATCAATGCTCTCCACTAAAAGGCGGCTAGCGGAGAGCTAAGCACTAGTCAGTCCTGTTTGGACGCTTACCGAGCTTCCTCAGAGCAGCTTCCTGAGGGTCAACTTCTGTGATGAAGGGGTTTTTCAATGGAACCGTGTGCATTTGATGAATGCTAATGACATGGTTCCAAATCTTCTTTAGCCAATCCATTTGCAGCTGCTACCCGAGTTATTTAGTAAATGTCTGAAACAGCTGTCAACATTCTGTGAGGGAAGCTCTTCAATCAATGAATTGACAGAAACGCAATACTTGGAATATTCAGAGCAGAAGGCGGGAGAACATAATGCACATCTATTTAGTGATGGAGCCAGCAATGAAAGGGAGGGATTGATATTGTCAGTGGATTCGGAAGCACTGAAGAGAATTCCATGCTCCTGGGCATAGAAAAGAGAGCAGAGTGCAGTTCTTGGGTGTGAGACTGGAAAAGTCAAATGGAGTGTTGGAGGGTCCTGAGGATAGGAGCGATGTTATATTCTACCAATAAGGATGCTCGTAGTGGGGCAGAGCAGCATTGTAAATCATATTTTAATTAAAATTTTAGTGCTTGTTGATGTTATTTTTTATTGTCTCAATAAAACATTTTTTAACAGATGACATCTGGACATTTTGTTTAAGTCCCTCTCCCTTCTCTATAAAATTCTTCAGTAAATTTAATTGTCACGAAAGTCATCAGACTGACAACCGCAGAACATGCAGCTTTTTATTCAGTATGATAGTTTGGGTTTTGAAAGTCCCCCAAGGCATGTGTGTTAAAGACTTGACAACCAGGTGGTTATTGGGAACAGGTAGAATCTTTGAGAGGTAAAGCCTAGAGAGAGGTCATTAAGCCATTGGGACCGTAAAAGGAGGCCATGGGATCCCAGCCCCAGCTCTTTCTTTTCTTCCTGGCCGTCAGATGAGTGGTTTTGCCCCACCACCGTATTCATTCCCATGTATTAACATTCATGGCTTCAACACAGGCCAAATGTGAATATAGACCAGAGTCCCACAAAACGTGAGCCAATCTTTCTCTTTGTAAGTTGACTATCTTGGGTATTTGTTAGCGTGATGGAAAGATGACGCATATATTCAGCCTCAGTGTTTAGAAAAGAATGGTTTTGTGATGCTATTGGCCTCCCTTCTACCCGGAAGAGATCCTTCTATCCTTCCTCCCTTCCTTCCTTTCTTTCATTCTTTCTTTTCCCCACAGAGAGATCCTTTATTAAGCGGGAGACAAACTTAAAGTGGCTGCTTTCTGACTCAGGCAAAAAACAGCAGCAAGTGACCTTGCAGGTGTCATTTTTGAGAGGAGAAGAAGGGGAGGTCTGTGTTAGAAGGGGCTAAGATGTGATGGTAAAGGAACGAAGGAGAAGAGGAAAGAGACAAGGGAAAGGGAACAGGGGTATTTGTCCCAGAGGGACAAAAGACTGCTTCTGGATAGACGGGGGAGACAGCAAGATCATTTCTGAACTGAAGTCTTAGGTGAGGTTTAACTCACTGTGGTGTTT